ATAAATATTATTTACACATTATTCTTGATTTGAGCAATATAAGTCTATTGTAAGGGTGGAGCTTACTTTTATTTATTTATTTTTATATTAATCTCATTTCTATTAAAAAAAATTATGATAAAAAAAGGTTTAGGTGAGTTGTCTCATCAAAGTTAGAATAGGTCTTAAAGTTTTGTGAGAACTTATAATAATTCTTAAAGTCTTCACTTTTCACATAAGTAGGAATGAATCTCACATCCTTTTAAAATATGAATCCATTTTTTAACTAGTGAACCAATTTTTATTAGTTTTCATTTATATATAGATCCTACCATACACATTTTTTAACTAGTGGACCAATCTTTATTAGTTTTCATTTGTATATAGATCCTACCATACATATTTCACACTGGATCATTTCTCCCCCAACCTTCTCCTATAGTCACTCCTACCGCAAACCATCATGTGGCTGCTGTGTCTAACTCCTAAAACTAAAGTTTCACCCTATTTAAACTTTTGTGTATACAAAAAGAAAAAAAAAATCAATATAGTTAGATTTGTGGAAAGGAATTTGGGGTGTCGTAGATACAAAAACAATTTATGTTTGTGTATTTAATTAGTTAATGTTCTTAATTAATTATTAATAAATAATTTTGAAATAAGCTTCTTCTCCACCATTTTCCAATGATATTGGCTTTAGCTAAATGCAATTTATTTAGTATTTAATGTAAGACGAATATGTAAAATCCTTAAAAATATTTTTTGTAATGTATATGTAAAGTCTAAAATATTTTTTAAATCCCTTTCATAGGCATTTATCTCCCTTCAAAAAGCTTTGTGATATGTTTCACGTGTTCTAAAAAGCCGAATCAATGCATGAACACAAGACATTATTAATTAAGTATTTAAGTTGTAAATAATTCATCATTTTTAAGAATAAGACATGACAAACATATCCTTATAGTGTTTACTATAAAGTTTTTAAAATTCACTACGGTCTCGGTAAATCAAATAAAGTCTTTCTGGCGTTCTAAATTCTCACACACACGCTTGACATATGATATGTAGGTGGCATATTATCGATCTAATCATATACTATTCTTTTATTTGTTTCTTGTAATATTTTTTTAAATGATCTCCATAAAATTAATTTTTACTTATTTTGGATTTTATTTTTTTATTTTAGTTCCGTTAATTTGTTGGGAAAAAAATTAATAAGGACTAAAATAAACTTATTCACATGTTACAAAAGATAAAAATGAAAAATGAGTATATTACAACTGCTAAAATAAAATAATGACAATCAAAATAAAAATAAGAAATTTACGGGAATCGTTTAAAAATAATAATAATAATAATAATAATTTGATAAGGAGAAAAAGTATATATTATGGTCGAAAATTATATATAAAACTCTTAATAAATTTGCCCAGTAGTAAGCTTACAGTTGTTGGTACTTCCTTAATTTTCCCGGACTAGTAAGTTCTTTTTTATTATTATATGTGAATGTTATATTACACTAACAAAAGTACACAAAAAATCGTATAAATTCTATTTCAACCAATCAAATCAATGTACAACATTAGCGAGAAGTTACTATACAATATATGTAAATAATTATAAAATGAAATGTTGTATTTGTTTATGTTCGTTCTGCCCTTTATTTGCACTATAACATACGACTTTGCCTTACTCTGCATGCAATATACGAGATTTCCATGTTATTTCAAAAGTCAAGTTCTAAACATGACATACAATTAATATTGTTCCATGAGAAATGTTTCCATGCCCATGAAAACTTATGGAGTGAACCAATACAATAATAGTTTGAAAATGATGATGTTGTTAAGAAACAATTTGTTTATTGTTTAGAACTTTCAATTAACAACGTAAATACGAAAATTTCTGGAACGACGGTGAGAAAGGGAGATGATGGAGAGAGAAGGAACGATGGAGGTTACTAGGTTAGGCAGTGAGAGAAAGAGGTAACCAAAGAGAAATTGGGATATAAATAAAAACACAAAAAAAGAAAAGAAAATATTAGTCATTAATTAAAGCTATCAAATCTAATAGATCGATATGAAAAAAATCTCCCACGGTGGTAGACATGGCTAGCTTTTTCGTGATAGCCTTCACCATTATTCAGTCACGACCATACAAACTCACTGCTTCAAGACCTCACGTACCTATCTCTATTAAAACCTCTCCCACATTATGGTTTAGATTCTTAATATTTTTGTCTAATGAAATTTTAACCTTTAATTAAAATTAAAATAGAAAAATAAATAAATAAAAAATAATATGAGATTTAATTTGATGGGAGAGATTTTCATTATAGAAAATTCAAGTGAAAATTTCATATGAGAACATCTATTTTCCTGCATCGAAACCTTGTTATTTACTTGGGTTTTTATATGTGTTCCTTTGAATTACTTTTTCCAAAGGAGGTAACTAAACTAGACATTAGAAGCATCATTTTTCTTTTGAGAAACGTTAGTTGCGTAGTGTTTATTCTCCTGCATCGAAACCTTGTTATTTACGTGGGTTTTTATGTGTTACTTTGAGCTTACTTTTTCTAAAGGTGGTAATTAAACTAGACATTAGAAGCATTATTTTTCTTTGAGAAATGTTGCGTATATAACATACTTAAAGGCAGCATGTCTTATCACAGGAATATCGATAAACAAAGTTTAGATATCAAACTTAATTAAATAAATTGGTTCAAGCTAGTATTATCAACTTAATCACAATTTTGAATGGTTTAAAAGAATTGATTTTAATCGTGAAAACATGACAGGATTCATGTGGATTGGAAATTAAAGTAGAAAAATGGGTTCATTATAAAAAAAATTGTCATATAATGGCACATACATATTATAATGACATAATATTTATTATTAAAAATTATTTTTACTTATATTATAGATACAATATATGTTGGTATATTGTTGAAAAGTGTAGTTTTATATTATAATGAAACATAATATATGTTATTATATCTTATTTAAAATCAATATTAAAATTGTGTACAATTATATATATATATATATATATGATATTTATAGTGACATTTTTTGTATATCACTATATATAATATTTTTTTTAAGTAATTCATTAAAATTTGAGACTAAAAACTCAAGCTTGTGACTTCATTGATCCTAATAATCACCCTCTGTCAATTGTATGAATTCTAACATTTGTTACCAGTTTTACTTCTCAAAGTTTTTAATAACTTTTGTTTGTAGAAATTAAGAGTCCTTATTTTTTGAAAACCCTAAATTGTTCATATAAAGTTTATGGAGAGCAAGGCATACAAAAGAAGAAGTTGATTAAATAATTAATCTAGTTGGACACTTAGAAAATCATTTGATTATGCAAGTTCTCCAAATTTGATTGTCTTAGGGTTTCATTAATTAGTAGAGTTTGGTCATACATACTATCAATTAACTAAGACAACATTAAAAAGTCAGAATAAATTCAACAATTATAGAAAGAATTAACTCAATTTATAATCGAGGGTTAATTACATCATCACCTTAGAATAAAAGTTGGATAGATGGTAAACCTTAAAATCTTACTAAAATTCAAGGACATAGGAGAAAAAATTGATCACAAAAGGGGAGAGTCCTTCTCTAAGGATAACTCTTAGTCTCTTACAAAATCAGATTCAAGAACTAGGAATAGAAAAAGAAAAATATTCAAATTAAAACTAATAACAAGATAAAAGAAATGTAATCTAAAATGTCTTATTTATAGAAGAAAACTAGAATATGATTATCAAGCATAATCATGCATATCAAATAGCATGACCATGCTTTCAAGCATGGATGTGCATCTTCATATTCTAAGCATGCATCATTATTGAACGTACAATCGTGCTACAAAGAAGTAGAATCGTGCAACTTTTGTATGGGCATGCACCTTTCAACTTAGGCGTGTTTCATTCAAGCATGACTATGCTTCAAGTAAATACAATCCTCCATAGTGTTTCAACTCAAACTTTCATCTTTTAGATTGTTTATTGCATAGATTTCTCTATTTTGTATTTTCTCACCTATTTGTTGCATACTTAGCCAAAAGGTAAAAGTTGTTAGAGAAATTGTTCATAAAACAAGACAAAATAACAATAATTAACATGATAAGATATGTAGTAGTTTAAGATTTAACAAATAGGTTAGAAAAAAGTTAGAGAGTAAGTTGTTAGTTATCTTCTCATAATAATAAACTATTTTTAAATTCTTTGTTTATATCAAAAGTACTGTTTACCTTAATTTAAAAATTAACATTTTATAAAATATTTTTTAGAAGTTTTCAAATCTCTCACTCTCATTTATTTTTCTTTCTATTTAAAAAAAATAACAGGTTAAAGTTTATACAATTGAATTAATTTAGAATAAATGTAAACTTAAATCAAAATTTTATCCTTTCCTATATATAATCGGAATTTGATCACAATTTTCTAAATCAATTTTATTTTCTTAAATAAAATAACTTTAGTGATTATATATTTATTATTTTTCTTATACATATATCTTCCTTCGAAGAGATCATACTCGAAATATAATAAAACATTAAAAGCAAACACGTGTTTTAAAAAGAAATTTAAATTTCATTTATCATTTTGTGAGAGACTAGTTCTTCCCTACATCAACTCCATTAGTTAAATATCTTTTTAATTATTCTACAATTAAAAAGATTCCCATCGTGATAATAATTCAACCTGATCAAATTAAATTAATGGTCTACCGCGCAAAAATAAACATATTATATTTTCTACCTAAAGTCCTCCCACCAACCAATGAGTTACATTTATCAATACAATTCTTTTGGTCAATAATTCTACACAATCAACTAACCTTGATTTATGTAATAAACATTGAAATTACATTATAATATAATATAGTAATGTAATCCAAATAACCAATTCAGATAACCACGTTGTTCTAATTCTCTTTTATTATATGTCCGGTGACCAATTGCTGTTTCATTTTGTTTCTTAGACTGAAACGGTGAGAACTGTGTAGTAGCGGTTGGTACACGTTTCTCACCCTATAAACCCTTTAACCTTAGCAAGCAAATTGCAACTTATGCTGTCTCTGTCTTTGTTTCTATTCCAATTCAGACACATGCCAACCCCAATTTTTTTTTTTTTTTAATTCACTTAATCTCTTTCGTTGGATTTTGTATGGCAATAGTTATCGCCCTTCAATTTTCTCTCTTGTGCTGAAGTCACTTTCCTTCTTCTTAGTTGGATGGATTAAGTTTGAGCGCCATCAGGCCATCTTGTTTGGATGCTGAGAAAATTGTGGGAAAAATCAGGTTTTTCTCTTTCTATTTTTCCTTTTCTGTTTCTGGGGCTTAAATTTCACTTGAGAATTCACTGAACCCACAAACAAAAATTCAATCTTTGTTCTTTCCCCGTTATTTTTCTGTGTTGGTTGTTCATGGACACTTCTCTGTAGCACTGAATTGAATCCATTCAAGTAGAGAGTGAGAAGAAAAATGGCCTATGCACATGGGTATGCTCCAATTTTCAAATTGGCTTTTGTGTTTTCTTCTGTTTCGCCATCACAACAGAGGCTCCCTTTGATGTTTCCTGCATCAAACTCTGGTTTTTCCCTCAAATTCTATGATGGGGCATCTGCCAGTGTCAGATCCTGTAAGTTGCAAAACCCTTCCTTTGTTGCTGCAAAACACAGTTCAATAAGGGGTTTTAGGGCTCTGAAATCGGTTGAACTGGACCAGTTTGTGACGAGTGATGATGAGGAAGATGAAATGGGTGAAGGGTTCTTTGAGGCAATTGAGGAGCTTGAGAGGATGACAAGGGAACCCTCAGATATTCTTGAGGAGATGAATGACCGTTTGTCTGCAAGGGAACTGCAGCTTGTGTTGGTGTATTTCTCTCAGGATGGGAGGGACTCATGGTTTGCTTTGGAGGTATTTGATTGGCTGAGGAAGGAGAATAGGGTGGACAAGGAGACCATGGAGCTCATGGTTGCCATCATGTGTAGTTGGGTGAAGAAGTTGATTCAGGAGCATCATGGGGTGGGTGATGTGGTTGACTTGCTTGTGGACATGGATTGTGTTGGGTTGAGGCCGGGTTTCAGCATGATTGAGAAGGTGATTTCCTTGTATTGGGAGATGGGGGAGAAGGAAAGTGCTTTCTTGTTTGTGGAAGAGGTTTTGAGGCGTGGAATCCCTTATGTTGAGGAGGACAAAGAAGGGCACAAAGGAGGGCCAACTGGGTATCTTGCTTGGAAAATGATGGTAAGCATTTGATGTTTTATGTCTAGCTTTTTAACTTGATTGGAGAGTTAGCCTATGTTTGAAACTTTTTGAATTTGGTATTGAAGAAGTCTTAATTGAACCAGTCATTGTGGGGGCTTTTATCATTCGGTTCATTTGACTTAAATTTCTTGTTGATTGGAGCTATTAATTCACATTTATTCTGCTTTTGTGATGTTTGGTTTGTATTGGTTGTCTTGTCTGATATTGCACCACATTTAGTCACTTGATGACTTTGTAGCTGGTGGGTTTGATTTATATAATTAGGTTTGTTTTTTCAAGGAGGGGTAATGCGTCTCCCTCCCTCTTGAGGTTTTTATTTTGAACGTCTAATGATGAATGGAATGGAATGAGATGGAACAGAAACCAAACAATTTTGGGTTAGTTTTGCCTTTCTCTCCCCTCTGTACCCCCCATCCTAATGTAGAGTTGGAGCTTCTTGGTTATTTATCATCAAAAGAACTTTTTGTGTACTAGAATAGCTTGTTTCTGGTAGTTTGTTAATCTTCATTTAGTCAAATATATAATACCTTGATTTTTAATTCAAATTTCTAAGTTGTATATGTGGCAAGAACAGTGTGTGACTCGTAGCTGAATTTGTTTTTAGTATCTTATGCCTATGATGTTCTGTATGCACTTTACTCTAGCCTTTTTTCTTTTTCTTTTTTTTTTATGGGGTAAAGAAGGTCAGGGAATCTCTTTTCTGATTGTTGATTCTATTAATTAGCCTAGTTTGAGGAAAGAAAATTAGGATGATCAAAATGTTTAGGCCCATTGTTTATCACTCTTCTAGGATACTTGTTGCGGTTTCATTGCAAGCCTATCTTTGCAAGTGACTGTTAGAAGGATGAGTTACAATGTGAATGCTTTCTTTTGCAGTCTGAGGGTGACTATGTAGGCGCAGTTAGATTGGTAATTCGATTTAGAGAATCTGGCTTGAAGCCAGAGGTCTACAGTTACCTTGTTGCAATGACTGCTGTGGTTAAGGAGCTGAATGAATTCGCCAAATCTCTACGCAAATTGAAAAACTTTGCAAGGGCCGGGTTGGTAGCCGAGTTAGATCTAGAAGATGTCGAGCTCACCGAGAAGTATCAATCCAATCTATTAGCTGATGGGGTGCGCTTGTCCAATTGGGTGATTCAAGATGGCAGCCCATCCCTTAATGGAATTGTTCACGAGAGGCTCCTTGCTATGTATATTTGTGCCGGCCATGGAATTGAGGCTGAGAGGCAGTTGTGGGAGATGAAGCTTGTAGGAAAGGAGGCTGATGGAGATCTCTATGATATTGTTCTTGCCATTTGTGCTTCACAGAAGGAGGCCAATGCCACGGCAAGGCTGCTGACCCGGTTGGAGGTTGTGAGCTCACCGCAGAAGAAGAAAAGTCTGTCATGGTTGTTAAGAGGATATATCAAAGGTGGCCATTTTAACGAGGCGGCGGAGACGGTCATGAAAATGCTAGAGTTGGGTTTCTTTCCGGAGTACTTGGACAGGACAGCTGTATTACAAGGTTTGAGGAAAAGGATCCAGCAATATGGGAATCTAGATACTTATATCAGGCTATGTAAGTCCCTCTCTGATGCAAATCTGGTAGGACCTTGTCTTGTACATTTGTATATAAGAAAATATAAGCTTTGGGTTGTGAAAATGCTCTAAAGGCTATGTACGGATTGATAGAAAGGAATAAAATAGTGTGAAATGAAATGGGATGATTATTGGTTCCATTGTTTGCATTGTTTACAATAGGATGGGTCATGGGATGGAATGGAATGAAACATCAAGGATGGAACCATCTATTCATTTCACTCTATTATGTTTCTATCGCATTCCATACCATTAGATAGAAAATGAACTGGTACTGTGCCAACATTTGGTTTGGTGGCATATTTGTATACCTCGAGCACTGATTTGCTTGGTGCTTGCTTACATGTATAATTTTGTATAATGTATAGTCTTAATGTCAAACCAATTCTAGAAGAGCAATGTTGTAATGAGTATGAATGATTAGTATCTCCACAGGAATGAACTACTCATGCATTCGATGCATGATGTGGTACTAATGTACTTAGAGGTGGCAAAATGGTTAGTATATAAGGTTTAGACTTTAAAATTGTCATAATATTGTAATTAGAGTGACAAAAATGGGTCTGATATATAAGGTTTGGACTTGAAATTGTCTTAATATTGTAATTAAAATTGTCTGAATTAAATGCGAGTATTTTAATCTGATTCGATCATTACCCAATTTAGGCTCTACTATAAAAATTTGCAAAAGGCTTTATAACTCGTAACCCAAATCGGGCTGAATAATCAGTTTTGACATTTCGTCAACTTGATGTTATGAGATAAGCATACAGATGTCATGTACTTTGATGATATGAAATAATCATATAGGTGTTATACATTTTAATGGTGGACCCTGTTATAATAATCTTGAATCCTCATTCCTCATTTCCATGAGAGAGCATGATTTGATCTTGGCTCTTAAGAAATGCTTAATGATGTTAAAAAATTATTTGTTTAATGAAAAATGTTGGCCTTTGATGAATCTGTGGTGTATCTTTAAATTGCCTAAAACAAGTTTGATTTTACAGGACTGATGTATGTATAATTCATTAAAAATTAAAAATAAATATTTAAAAATATTTTTCTATTTCAAAAGTTTGTTACCGATGAGTTGTCTTTTTATTTTTTGGTACTATAGTTGTCTTTTGTCTGTCTGTAATTCATTAAAAATTAAAAATAAAATTTTATAAATGTTTTTCCATTTCAAAGTTTGTTACAGGTGAATTGTCTTTTGTCTTATTTTCCTGTGTTTTTCCTAGTAGTACTGTTATGTATGTATAGTAGGCTTTGGGCTTTGTTACCAGGCCACATGGTTGGAGATTGCTATTCCTCCCTCCTATCCACCCCCTTTCTTTTTCTCTTTCCACCCTTTTTTTGTTATCAAATTATTCCTATTCCCTCTCAACTTTTTTTTTTAATATTTTTTTTTACTTAAATGCATTTTTAGTATTGGTAAAATGAGCGTGTTTTTGATTTACGTCTGTGTAAAAATTTTATTTTTATTTTTATTTTTTATCCTTCTAAAATTTGTAGATATTATTTTTAGACCTTGTAAAATATTTTTTCTTTATAAAATGAGTAAATTTTAGTTTTGATCCTTCTATAATATGTTTTCTTTTATTTTCATCTCTTTAGAATTTAAAATCATTAATTTTTGTTACTAAAAATGATTTTAAGGTATATAAATAATATTTATTTTAAAGATTTATAAAAAGAATTAGTGGTATGATATCATTAAAAGGGTCATTTAACCTTGTAATTAAAATGATTATATAATAATAGAAACTAAACTTAGTTCTAAAGTTCAGAGAAATGATAAACAAAGAAAAAAATTATAGAGATCAAAATAAAAACACATTCATTTTACATAGATTAAAAACATATTTAACTCTTTACTTTTTTAACTTTTCTCATATTTTATAGAAACTAGTTTTTAATGTAAATTTTACGTTACAAAAAAAGTTTCCTTAATGAAACGTTTTTGTCCACTACTAATTTCTAAAATATGTTTAGTAGGATTTAGAATCGAATTTAACTTCGTTTATGTTTTATATCCTTTCAATAAATTTGTGTGAAAAATAAAATAAGTGATTCATAATTTTATTAAAAAATTTTAAAAAAAAATTAGCAGTTGATTCTAATATTGGACGCATCTGCCACATCTTAATATAAACTTTTTGTTATTGAAAAATGTGTTTAGTGGAGTTGACTGTTGAGTTATATGTTTTGAAAAAATGTGTTCCAGAAACCAGTTTTTGGAAAGGGTGTTTTTGCAAAAGAAATTTACAAAAAAAAAAAAAAGAAAGAAAGAAATACCAGAGAATGTGAATAAATAACGGGTTGTAAATTGTATCTTCATCTCTCTTTTGCCTTTTTCCAATGGGCTTTGGGCTCTATATGGGTGTGTGTACGTATTGTCTTCTGTTCTGTTTCCTTCTCTCTTTTGTGTTTTATCCAATGGGCTTTAGGGGCTATTATCATAGGAATAGGTGTTTTGTGTTTATTAATAGATACTACATTATCCAAGAAATAAAAACGCCACTTTTTATATATATAAAAAAAAATTGTAGTAACATTCTATATATATATATATATATTTTTTTTTTATAAAGTTTTTGAGTAACTATATTATTAATATGATATATCTATTGATTTTTCTGTTGATTATTGTTTGTTAGAGAACCTAATCAATCATTTTTAACAAAATTTTCAATTATAAATATTTTTTCACTAGAGGTGTTCAATACTACTCGAATAAATAACTTGTTGGTTATACATTTTTCTAGTTAATTCCTCTTATAGTTATTTTTATTTATTTCTTAGTACACTTTATCACATAAAGCAACGTTTATTTCAACATATGTTTATCTAGAGCATCTTGCTAGGTGAGACATTCATTTACACCTCTCATTTTTTTTACCTCTACACCATTTTTTATGAAATGTTTCTTACCATTTTGATTGCTTAAATTAAAAATAAAAGGTAAAACATTATTTCTGCATTGAATTATCTGTCTACTATATATTTATCATATTTGTTTGAATGACAAGATATATAACTATCACATTGATTGCTGTCTCCACCCTAATCAAGGAGCTAGATTGACTTGAAGCAAAGGAAACTCTTATATGTGTTCTTGAAATGTAAGCATTTTTGTTTGGGAAGAAAGTTATGGTTTGATCTTCATCACCACAATTCATTTTATAAAACACTTCCATCTGACACGTGACCTTTTTTTTCTCATGCTCATATCATTGCATGTCTAGTCATGCTTTTTAAATAATGTGTTGATCCATCAATTGTGTTTTCATTTATGAAGAAAAAAAAAAAAAGAAAAAAGAAGCTAACATGTAACATGTAGCAATAACTTTCTAATAAAAGCACTATAACTTAGTAATTTTAACTTGCCGCAAAGTCTTGTTAACTCAATTATGTCCTACTATTTGATTCCACCTGACTTGCATTTAGTTTGACATTGATATTTCTACCTTACCACTCCAGTTTCATTATTTCAAATTCAATTATATCTCTTCCATTTATTAGTTTACTTTATCCTACTTGCAATAGGCTATAAAAAAAAAATAAAAAAAAACAGAAGTGGGAATTGAGAGAGAGAGAGAGGGGGGTGGGTAAGGTGAGGAATGAATGAAAAACAGAATTTAAGACTACTCTTAATATAGAATCATTAAAATCGGTCTAATAATTAAAAATTAAGATAAATGCATAAAAATTTAAATTTAATCTTCATTGTGATCATTATAATTTTTTTTTTATTTATAAAAAGTGTAATTTTTTGGTTAAATTTAAAGTCTTGTATCAAACTATCAATAACTTATACAATAAAGATTGATGTTTATAGCATGTATAGGGAAGATTATTTTCTTCCATTTTAGGTGCTTTTTAAGGGAGAAAAAAAGTTTTTTGCAAAATAAGTTATATAATTGAGATAATAGAGATTTTTTTTATAGAAAAATAAGTTGTTTTTATGCATATGAAAATATGAAACTTACGATTATTTTTCAACATTTTTTTTTCTACTAAATATTATTTGTTATATATAAAAGCTCTTTTTGTTATATCCTAATGAAAATAAATATCTTAAAATTACTTTTTAACACACTTATTTAAGTACAAATTCATTTTTAATTATAACCTATTATAAATACAATCCATTATTGAATTAATATAATTTTAAGAGCTTTTCGGAAAAGAGAATGTTTATAAAATAAGTTACATACTTCTTTAGTAATTATATTATTGGTGGGATGTATTTATCAAATTTGTCAATAACTAAGAGTACTTGACTAATTATCTTTAATGGGTTTCCTTTCCCAGTTTATTTTTCACATACCAATAAGTTGCATATGACAATAGCTAAAATTTGTAAGAATTTTTTTTAAAAAAAAATTCTTCATATAATTGAAAATTTGAGACTTATAATTATTATCCAATAATTTTTTTTTCTAAAGCTGATTTATTATGTAAAAGCTATTTTTTTTATATCTAAATGAAATTGAATATCTTAAAATCACTTTTCATCAAACTTATTCAAACAAAATCTCATTCTAATTATAATCCATTATAAAAATAATTTATTATACATATGATTAATTATTTAAATAATTTATTTTTCACAATTATATATAATCCATTACAGAGTTGATTTTCAAAGTGAAACTTCAAACTTTTGAATTCAAATGACTTATCCAGCATTTATAGAGAAGACATTCACATTTTATAAAAAAAATTACAATAATATTCCTTTTTCTTATATATAATATATAATTATGTTATTATTGTGAAGTATCCACTAATTTTATTTATAATTAATTTCTGTCAAAAAATTATATCAACCGCCTTTAATAAAAAAAATTCTTCTAATCACATTTTTTTTATAAGACAAATTTGAAACTTTACTAATATATCCTTATATCAACTATATATCTGTTTGTAAAACATATATTTCTTTTTATATTCTCACCATTTATAATTATTAGGTATAAATCTAAACGTCAATATCTTTGCTGCAGTGACACAATGGTTGTAGATTGTAAAACTGTAATTTTGACTGAATAACCATATAAAATAATTTTAAAGAAAACAACTATTTCATCTAAGTTTTGTGAATGAATGAAAAGAAAGAAAAATCCCATCAGGCCACAGTACAAAGAAGCAAAGACGACCACAACAGAGGTGTGATGAAATTAATGAATTGAAAGTTCATCTGCATATATACCAAGAAATTATCACCTGATTGACATCATGCGTCCACTTGTTTATCATCACGTGATTGTGTACTACGGAGTTGATCGATTTTCTTGGCAAGACATGTATACGTAGAGCTGTCAAAACGGGTTATCCGGCCCAGCCCGGCCCGGCCCACCACGGGTTAGTCATTTAGTGGGCCAATCCAACCCGGCTCACTTATCAGTGAGCTCAAAAAAATCGAGCCCGGCTCGGCCCACCACGGGTTGGTGGGTTAAACGGGTTGGCTCACCTTAAAAAAAAAATAATTTTTTTCATTTTTTTTTCTTAATATACAAATAAAACCCCAAAATTTAAACTTATTTTAAAAATTTTAGATTCTTAATTAAGACATCCTTAAATGAATTATCCATCCCAAACATTAAACGATAATTTTAAATACAATCAAATCAAATCTAAATAATCTCAAATAGATAAATATAATCCAAAATTATCTTAAACTTCAAATACAATCCAAAATCACAAAAATTACATATCACAATCTAACATTAAATTATTATTGTCTCATGTTGGACTGCACCATGACCCAATAATTATTGTATTTTTTCAACAAAAAAAAATAAATCACGGGTTGGTGGGCCAGCCCAGCTCACCACGGGTTCAACCCGGGTGAGCCGGGTTGGTGGTGAGCCGGGTTCAAATTTGACCCGTATTAAAATTTTCAAATTTTTTTTAACCGAACCCGGCTCGAACCCGTGGTGAGCCGGGTTGGCTCGCCGGGTCAAACCCATTTTGACAGCTCTATGTATACGTACTCTTACAACACTAAAATAAAAATTAAAAATAGTGATAAATTTGTTATTATTAGTGCTCATTATTTATTACTCTTTAAATTTGGCAGCTATTGTCCCCTGCAGAGTTTGTCAGCTGCAACGACTCATATGCTAGCTTCAGCAACATTTACTTCATGCTACTGCTACTGCTATACATTTCATCCCATACTTTTTCTTCACTTTATCTATTATTCATATTGGTGTAAGTCTTAATCTCTCTTTTCAGAATAAAAAGAAATTATAAAAATATTGATTCGTGTATTGATCTTCAAATTTCTTAGAATGTAAATTTTGTTCCATACACTCCCTCCCACTCAGGATTACTGTGTTTAAAGGAAAAGTTTGTATCTTATTATTTTGGAATAAAATGACATTTGAGTTATACAAGCGGAAAAAGAAACATATTGCTAAATATTTATTCTTTGATGTGAAAGAATGTTAAAAATCTCATGTCAATTAGTGATATTGTCAAAATAAAGTATATAAATAGAAAGTAATCATTAATTAAGATAAAATTGAAGGAATAAACAAAATAATAAAATGAAAAAATGGATAAAACTAAATTCCTTTTTTAATTTATAAATTTATTTATTTAAAAACATAATAAACCAAAACATATCCCAAGAAGCCTCTTTTAACTCTTTTGTCAACACACTATCTTAAAATTTCCAAGTTGTGTAAAAAGCTAAGATACTCTCACTGGGGGCATTGACCAAAGAGATGCTGCAAACAAAAAGGCTTGAGTTCTGTGCCACAAAAAATATAGTGCCATACAGGAATTAGCAACTATCCAGATTTGCATAGATTTGAGGAATTGTTTTCATAAAGCTATTTGAGTCATTTTCCACAATTTGCCTTGAAGTTTTCCTACTGTGGGACAGTGCCAAAGAAGAACATGCTTCAGTTGTGTCACATGGTGATTGTAGTGATATGTGATCATTTTTCTTGTCATTTTGTTCTCCTGAGATTAGTATATATTCCCCTTTGCTTTTCTCCTCTTACATGAACTCCAACTTGTGTTGACGTGAACATATATATTATTATTCTCTTGTACATGCATCATATACATAAATCCAATTATTGCAAGAATCTCTATGCTGAAGAGCCATCATACATGGTTGATGTAGGTTATATATATATATATATATTAATAAATAAATTTTACAAAGGTGTTGCTAAATCTACCATCTTCCTGACCCATCAATAATTAGAAGCCCCATGAGTAGCATCATTGGCTTATATGTTCAGATTTGATGTTTTTTACCACTTTATTTAGACGTGTGACCAATCATATCCTCGCAAATTCATGTGCCGTGTAGATGTAGTGGACCATTTTTAATTATTTCGCACATAATATTATATGTTAGTATACATCTGAATTGAATCATATGTTGTACAAAGAATATATTAATAGAATATTGAGGCCTCAAAAGGAAATGCCGTTCCTTCAATCACCTTATGCCTTTTCCTCCTCAAGAAAAAACATATAAAGAGCCACGCATGAATTGGACATTCAACCAATAAACAAAATGATTTATTGTGATGATCGCCATTAGATTAGACAATGCGTAGTAAATCAACTTTGTTGGAGAAAAGAGTAAACAGAAGTAAAATTTAGAAAGTAAACAGAAGTAAAATTTCAAAGTCTTATTTTTCATTATTATATAAATTATGAGAAAACACACTATTCATCAATATCGTAAAGAATTTTACATTTACATTCAATTACAGATCATTATATGTATAGTAAATTTATTAATTTTTATAATAATTATCTTAAAAATTAAATTGACAATAATTTTATTTTATTATTTGATAATTTAAAATATTTTATATTAAAAATGCTGCATGAACATTAAACTTTTGTATTATTATTAGTGTTATCTTTTGGTGAGGGGAGAGGGTATATTTTAAAATGTGAGTAGCTGTTTGGTGTTGATAAGACTACCTAACGTAAAAACAATAATTGGATTGGTTACACAACTCACTCCACCTTCTGCACTTTGCTTGACATGCAATTCCATCTCAATCCGAATATTTGAATAATCAATCAATTAAGGTAAAGGGTGCGTAGCTAATAAAGAAAGAAGAATTCGTTTTCATCATTAAGGTACGTTTCACTTTGGTGGTGGAAACAATTAAATAATCTGCGACTCTATGTCCTACTTTTTAAATACAACAAAAAGAAAAGAAAAAGAAAAACGATCATGGAACCAGTTGACCAGACTGGCATGCTTGCTGGTGTCTCAAATTGGAGTGGTTCTTCTCAAGGATCTCTAATTGTATCCCTCAAGTGGAGTCAGTTAATGGCACTGGTTCAGTTGAGCATAGCAGCTTCACCTGATCACACCTAGAAATTAAACTGCTAGCTGCTGTAGCTTGGTTTATTTACACCACAAACACACCAACTTTTTCATTCATTCAGTGTTTGTGTGTGTGTTGAGTCTTATATTCTTTGATTCTAAAATCACACATTATCCAAAGCCTGAAATTTGCACTCCTTTTTAGCAAAAAAAAGATGCCAAGATCAGTTCAGGCCATTGGTCTTCATCATAACCCATCATCCACCATCAACAAGAACCATTCCTTTTTTTCTTGAAGTTTTAGCCTAAAACTGTTTAGTTTAAGTTTAGCCCCTATAGCCTACGAATGACGTTCCTTCTTTCAAAGGTTCACAATCACACCCCAGGTTTATGTTTATTCAAAGTTCAACACTTAAGCCGAAGGGGTTGAAGGGTTGAACTCAGAGTGCTTATAATTCATCAGAGATGCGTGGTTTGAAGCTGGCTGAACGTTTCAAGAGCACTCAAGTTCATGCCCTCAGTTCTTCTTCATCAGAAACAAATGGTGGCAATAGCAGCAAAGCCTCAGTGGCTGCCACCAAACCTCGCAGCAACAACCTTAACAGAAACAAAACCATGTTACCATCATGGTCAAAAACCAAATCCAGCACCAGCAACAACAACAACGCAGCCTCAGCATTTGCAAATCTTGTGCCTCTTCACCTCCCTTCCACCGACACCATTGAACCATCCATAGAGCCTCACCTCAAGCCCATCAACCTTGTGGAGACCTTATCAGAACTCTATCAGCGTTTGGAGTGTTGTTCACACTCCAACAAAGCATTAGTGTGTGTGGAACAGTACTCTCTCTTGCGCGGAATTGGTGACCAGAAAGTACTGAGAAGATGTCTCAGGACAGCATGTCAAAATGCTGAGGATTTGCTCTCAAAGGTTGTGTTGTCTGCGTGGTTGAGGTTTGAGAGGAGGGATGATGAGCTTGTTGGTGTGTCTTCAATGGATTGTGGTGGCTACGCTCTGGAGTGTCCAAAGAAGAATCTGGAACAAGGGTTTAGTCCTTGTTCAGTTAATGATCACTGCCAGTGTCTGCAAGAGGCGAATCAGGAAGCCTGCACTGAGAGTGCGTGTGTGTCAGATGAGGAAAGTGATATTTTGTTTTGTGTTGGGAGTGAAGAAATCGGTTGTGTTAGGTGCAGGATTGCAGCACTTTCAGACCCTTTTAATGCTATGCTCTATGGTGGATTTGCGGAGTCCAAAATGAGAAAGATTGATTTCTCAGGAAATGGGATATGTCCAAAGGGGATGAGGGCAGTGGAGTTTTACAGCAGGACAAAAAGATTGGATCTATTCTGTCCAATGACTGTTTTGGAGCTTCTGTCCTTTGCCAATAGGTTTTGTTGTGAGGAGATGAAGTCTTCCTGTGATGCTCATTTGGCTTCAATTGTTGACAATGTAGAAGATGCATTGATGCTTATTGAGTATGGATTGGAAGAGAGAGCCACCCTTGTTGTAGGGGCTTGCTTACAAGTGTTGCTTAGGGAGCTTCCAAATTCACTGTATAATCCAAAGGTGGCAAAATTATTCTGTAGTTATGAAGCAAAGGAAAGGTTGGCCAATGTGGGGTGTGCTTCTTTCTTATTGTACTACTTCCTGAGTCAAGTGGCCATGGAGGAAAGCATGGTGTCCAAAACAACAATGATGTTGCTGGAGAGAATGGAGGAGTGTGCTACAGAAAGATGGCAGAAAGCCCTATCATTCCACCAATTGGGGTGCGTGCTGCTTGAAAGGAAAGAATACAAAGATTCTCAGTGTTGTTTTGAGGCAGCAGTTGAGGAGGGTCATGTTTATTCTTTGGCTGGTGTGGCCAGAACTAAGCACAAGCAAGGTCAACCATATTCAGCCTATAAGTTAATTAGTTCTCTCATATTTGAGTATAAACCATCTGGATGGATGTATCAGGAGCGTGCACTATACAACATGGGAAAGGAAAAGTGTTTTGATTTAGATGTTGCAACTGAATTGGATCCTTCCCTTTCATTTCCATATAAATATAGAGCACTGGCTAAGGTGGAGGAGAAGCAGATAAAGGAAGGAATTATAGAGCTAGATAAGTTTATTGGATTTAAACTCTACCCTGATTGCCTAGAATTAAGAGCTTGGTTGTATGTTGCACTTGAGGATTATGACAGTGCGGTGAGAGATATTCGTGCAATGCTAACCATAGAACCAAATTACATAACTTCACATGGGAAGATCAAAGGGGAATACTTGCTTCAACTTCTAAACCGCGGAGTTCAACAGAAGAGTCAGGCTGATTGCTGGATGCAACTATACCAACAATGGTCTTGTGTAGATGATATTGGTTCTTTGGCTATTATACATCAGATGCTGGAGAATGAGCCTGGAAAGAGCCTGCTAGAGTTTCGTCAGTCTCTACTCCTGTTGAGGTTAGTATATCTATAACATAACTGAACTACAAATATCTCTGGTATTTATCATTCAGTTCTCAGTCTCACTGCCCATAAACTTCTCTAAAAATACTTCTAGGAGATAAAAATAAAAAAGAAAAAGGAAAAACTCAAATAAACTTCCTCATAGGCTAAAATTAGTTTGTCTGCTTTGGACCTAAGTCTTCACAATTTTGCTTTTGTTCTACATAATGTTCCTCATACTACAGTAGTGTCCATAATGTTGTTTCAATGTAGCTTTTTTCTGTATTCAAATTAGTTCTATTTTACTATGTGAAGAGAATCTCTTACATGTATGAAATCCACAGATTAAACTGTCAAAAGGCTGCAATGCGCAGTTTGCGGTTGGCCAGAAACCATTCTAGCTCAATGCAAGAAAGGCTAATTTATGAAGGATGGATCCTATATGACACTGGTAATCGCGAAGAGGCTTTGGCGAGGGCTGATAGATCCATTGAAATTCAGAGATCATTTGAAGCCTTTTTTCTAAAAGCTTATGTGTTGGCAGATACATCTCTTGATCCTGAGTCTTCTTCCTACGTTATTCAGCTTCTAAAAGAAGCACTTAAATGTCCCTCAGATGGTCTTCGCAAAGGACAAGTAAGTGATATATGATACATTGATACTATCCCTATAGCTAGTGAAGGAAGTGTTGTACAGTTAATTGATTGTCTTGTGCAATATTTTGCAGGCATTGAATAACTTAGGGAGTATTTATGTGGATTGTGGTAAGCTTGAGCTTGCAAAAGAATGCTACAAAAATGCCCTTGCAATTAGGCACACAAGAGCTCATCAAGGTCTGGCACGCGTTTATCATCAGAAAAATCAAAGAAAAGCTGCATATGATGAGATGACCAAGCTAATTGAGAAGGCAGAGAGCAATGCCTCAGCGTATGAGAAAAGATCAGAATACTGCGACCGTGAAATGGCAAAGGCTGATCTTGATGTTGCAACTCAACTTGATCCTTTAAGAACCTATCCATATAGATACAGGGCAGCAGGTACTCTCCTATGTGCCATTTAATTTTATCGATTAACCATATGTAGTTAGATTACTACTACCTTACAAGTTTGGTATCAACATGAAAATTAATAAAATGTTATTGGATCTGAATTCCTAAAGGACAATCTGTTGTCTTGCTTTGGTAGCCCAAAATCTTTTTGAATTTTCCAAGAAAGTAGTTAGTAACAAGAAGTAGAAATTTTGGGGTATGTTTACACTGAGAAAATGTTCTGTTTTCATTTTCAACTAATAAATTAGCACATTGTTTTTTATTTGTTTCATGTTTTCAAGAGTTGTACAGAAACAGATTAAAATAAAGTGACAATTTTGTTATTAAAAGTGAAAACAGAAAACATTTTCTCAGAGTAAAACAGTCTTAGTCTCTTCTATTTCTACCATTTTTCAACCTCGCATATTTTCCCATCAAAGATAGACTGGAAATAGGAGAGAATGATTTGATGCAATGCAAGGCTTGTTCCAATTAAGCAGCACTTCAAAAGTTGCTCTCTGTTATGATCACTTACATAAAGTATCACATGTATGAGCAGTGATGATGGATGAGCAAAAAGAAACTGAAGCAGTAGAAGAACTGACCAAGGCCATAAAATTCAAGCCTGACATGCAAATGCTTCATCTACGAGCAGCGTTTTATGAGTCAATGGGGGATCTATCATCTGCTGTTCAAGATTGTCAAGCGGCTCTTTGCTTAGACCCAAACCATGCAAGCACACTTGATCTATATCGAAGGATACAAAATTGAACTTTTAACATTAAAGTATATGTTCATCAGAAAGATAAAATGTGGAGATACTGATTAGACAATTGATGGCGAATTCCCAAAGGAAATGAATGAGCTTTTACCACACAACAATCATTTAAGGACAAGGATAGAATGCGATGGAGGATATGCAGTGAAAACAAAACCAGAAGGCGCTACTTTTTGGATGAATGAAGAAAAAGATGGATAAAAGACACGGAGTTATGAGTTATATTGTCGGATAGAGAGGATGAATCAGGTGTAAATCATATGAATTTCAGAATAGTAACTACATTGATCTGATATGTATTCTTGTGAGCCATATTTATAGAATTTGTCTCACATTATTTAAACATCCTCTTGTACAGTTACAGGGTTATAAAGAGATTCACACCACTTGTTTCTTACAATGTATAATTCTCTTTCTTTACTTTTTTGGACAAATTTGGAAGAAAGAATAAATAATCACTTTTTTCTCATATTTCCTTCTTTGAATGGTAGGCCTTGCAATTAGAAATTCACACGTTCATTTTAAAAAGAACATGACAAACCAAGTGGGAGAGTTTACACTGAAGATTCGATTGGAACCTTGTTCTTGGTCCATAATCCATATCCATAGTACTTAGTACATCAGGTACACTAAAAAACACCCAATGGAAAAGATGAGATTGCATTCTCTTTTTGGCCCCTCTGCCCTATCTTCAATCTCTATCTTAGGTGGCATGGTGACATTATTTTCCATGGCAAATTTTTAAGTAAAAACTAGTATATTTGCAAGGGTCTGTTGGTTGTACGCATAAACCAAAACAAGTTTTAAATATAGTAATAAGTTGGAATATACCAAATTCATTCTTATAATTCATGACTGTTATTAATACATCAAAAAAAAATTCATGACTGTCAAGAAGTTAGTATGGATATGTGTGCATATAGAGAAGGATTGCTACTTATTTTTGGTTTGCAAATGTAACAACTTAACATTGAACTATACAAAAGCTTATGTGGATAAAATAATCATATTTATTGATACCGAGAATGATAATCGGAGACTCAAACATGGCCACTATGTATCTGTGGCTGATATGTTCGATGCCTAAGCTGAGAATCAGAATTAGGTTGTTGCAGAAATATTATTTTTCATATCATCATATGACAAAAATGTGGCACCTGTTTCTTTCTCATTGCAAACTAACATAACAATGATCTTTCTTGCACCTAGCTTTTTCCACACTAAAGAAACGCAAACTTCATTTATAAAAGGATACAAACAAATTCATTCCTCAAATATTTACAAAAATAAATTGCTCTACTGAAACAAAAGTTGTTTCTTCCATCCACCCTAATTCAGTTAGCTTCAAATAAAAAGAATCTAAACATAACTAACTAAAAGAAATTAAACAATGGCATCAAACTCCAAATTCAGAGTAGTTGCTCAGATTATTATCCCAATATATACTCTCTCTTTTTTTTTTTTTTGGAGTTATGGATTAATATCTGAATTAAAGTCAGTGGACATAATTTCTATTTCTGCCCACCAAAGAGGAGATGGTTTTGGAGTTGCTCCATCAGGCCCCATAGCAGTGATTTCCTTCAACTTAGCAGAAACTTCTATCATAGTTGGCCTTTTTTCTGGATCAGGATCTACACAGCTGTTAATCACTTCAGCCCATTTTTCAATTTCATTTGCTTGCAAAGAGTTGAGGCTTGTGTCCACCAACTCTCTCAAGGGTTGCCCCTTTATATATTCTCCTGCCCAATCATCAAGTGAGTCATTCTCCACTGCATAGGGAACTCTCCCTGTAATCAATTCAAACAATAGTACCCCAAAGCTGTATACATTAGCCTTTATATATTCTGGAGTTGTTTCTAAGAGCTGTGTGGCTTCTGAACCCTTCTTTGCAGTGTCCATGTCAGTCCAGAAACTAAGGTCTGATAATTTAGCAGCATAATCTTCAGTCAAGTATATAGAGGAAGATAGTATGTTTCTGTAGACAATGGGTGGTGTCAGCTGATGCAAGTGTTCCAGACAGTAGGCTATTCCCATTGCTATTCTCATCCTCATTCCCCAGTCTAGTTGTTCTGCTTCTCTAACTGTAAAACATACATGAACGCTGTCAACACAAAACTAACTGCCACAAGATGTCAACTTTCAAGTTATCAAAGGACTAATCAACCTAAAATCTTGACTTAAGAACTTAGAAGTAAAATTCAAAGAAAGATATCATATTATCAAACTGCTAAACAATCTAAAGTTTAGAAGTTTAGAACTTAAAAGTAAAATTTAAACTGTTCAGATAAAGATGTAAGTGAAGAAATTATTATTTGGTTCATGACTATCATGATCCAAAACAATCTTTAGTGACACATAATCAAGTTTTATTAATTCTTTCGTTCATAAATTGAAAAACTTAGTCATGTGTCGCAAAGAGATTAGTAAGGACTATGGACACCTAATGAAATAATTTCACTTGAAGGCCTAATAATAGTTTTTCATACACAAAAGAATTTGCTGAACAAAGCCATGTTCATAACTTCTTATAAGGTATCAAGTAATATGAGGATACCATAAAATTTGCATGCTTTTCAGTGTAATCATGCAAGTAAATTTTGAACAAAAGAACACTCACTGTGTAGATGCTCGAATAGTGTTCCATTTGGGGCATACTCAAAAACCATCATCCTTGTGAATGGCTTATTCTCTTCACAATATCCAATAAGATTCACAAAATTCTTGTGGTTCACTCTCGACAACATCTCGATCTAGAATCATGGAAAGGAAAAAAGTTCAGAACTAAAATCAGACTAGTGTGATGCATTTTCTACATTTGTCGCCTGTATACCTTCTTTCTGAATTGAGTTTCCATATTTTTTGACCAGTTTTGGAATGAAGTCACTGAAGAAGATGCTACAGCTATCTCAACTCCACTGGAGAGAGTACCCTTATAAATAGTCCCATCAGGAAGTGAACCAATAATGTTGCTAAAATCTTCACAAGCTGCTTCAAGTTCTGTTCGTTTCAGACTTGGAACACCTAAATCATACATGTTCAATGATTATGCCAATTTCAAATAAACAAGTACTTATATTAAGTATAGGAAAGACAAGAACATAAACTTTACTATTAGTATTTGGTAGTAATATGCATTTAGCAGTTAAAAATTTATAGCTGAGCTAGTCAATGGTGTAAATAAAGTAAGCATGAGCACCAATTACCTGATACAAATGCTTTCTGCAGCTGACCACTCAAACCTGTGGCCCAAGGTTTTACTGTTACAACCTTACTACTTCTAAAGCAAACAAGAACAACCGCTGACACCAAAATCAGGAAGGAGAATCCCCCAACTGTAGACCAAATAATCACAGTACTTTTCTTTGATTTTGAACTGTCTGCATTCCCTTTGTTTGAAGATGAGGCAGGAGAAGGCATTGCAACCCAATTGGAAGGTGATGGTGTGGACTCAACCATAGGTGGATTTGCTGGAGGTGGTATATCTGGAGTTTGTGCTACCACAGGTGAAGGTGAGGGTGAAAGAGTGAAAAAGAAAGTAGGGAGAGATGGAGATGGTGAAGGGGAAACTTCTGGAGATGTTGGTGAGTCTGACGGACTCTCTGATGGTGAGAAAGGCTCAGAAAGTGGTGATAGTGTAGAGGGAAAAGGTGATGGTGAAAGAGTTTCTTTTTCATCATCACCCCTCTTAACACCATTTGTTTCTTGGAGAAGTTTCCTTTCGTATGCTATATCCCCATGTTGGCCATTGTTCCTGTCACAAGTAGGCATTTTGGAACATAATCTAATGCATCATGTACCCATTGTCAATGAAGATATTCTTTTATCTATGAGAATCAAATTCAGTACTAATAAAGTTCACAACAACTCACACTCTGTTCAATCAATTGAGATAGACTCCTTGATGTTAATGAAGATACTTAAGCATTATTATAATGGATTTCCAAGAAAATAAAACAAATATCATATAAGATATATGCTGCAGATAAAAGCTATGTAAAGCAAAAGAACATTTTAATTCAGCCACTGACATATAGGACATCTTTTGATTCATAACTGTATGATGATTTCTTGCTTACCTGATATTATATATGCTAACACTAACACATGCTTCTCTAGTGGCACCAGTTAGTTGTTCTTCATGTACATGCAATTCAGAAAATGTCTTGAGCTTATTCACTTCTGGGGTTAAGATGGCAAGATGGTCATTGTTGTCCAACAAACTGTGGTACAAGTTTGATGATATATCAACTAAAGTTCAGAAAAGAAATACTACAATATATAATATATAATATATACTTTTTGCATGAAATTTTCAACTTACAGGGTAGTGAGAGATGGATTGCTTGCTAGGTCATGAGATGGAAATTGTCCACTAAAGTTGTTATATCCTAAGTCAAGTACTTCCAGGTCCTCTAATTGTAGTATCTCCTTAGGGATGTCTCCATAGAAATAGTTGTTGCGCAAAATGCTGCATAATGATTGCAAAAGTTGATGAAAATTTTCTAGTATTTTGTCATAATCAACAATGGCAAGTAGCCATGTACATGTAACATATGTTCTTACATTGATTTTATGTGAACTAGTTTCCCAATTTCGGGTGCTAGTGTTCCGTGGAGACATAGATCTTTCAAATTCCTGCGAGATGAATAACCCCTTAATTTATGTACATGTTATGTATATATATTGAATAACCAGTGTTCATTGGACGTATATGGCAATTAATTAACAAGGTACTCCACTGGCAAGATGTTAGCATAGTTCATTCAACTTTTCCAATGCAGAGTTAGGATCTCTAAGAATAAGTTCTCTATAAGTGGCTTTTAGGAGAAAAAATAAGAAGAAAAAAAAATGAAGCGAATTTTTTTAAAAATTAAAATTGCATTATACATAAGTTTAAAAAATAGGAGAAGGTAAAAATAAAATGAACTTCTCTATAAACTAGTTTTGACTTTTAAAGAAGTCTTTATCATATTTTTTTCTTATTTGTTTCTGTAAGTGTTTATGAAAAAGTTTATTCAACCCTACTATTAGACATATTTAAAGCAAAATAAGTAAAGTTTTAAAATATTACTTGAATCACATTGAAATATTACTTAACACACACTATCCATAACATGATTTACGGACCCCGTCAATAATATGATTTACGTAATATTCCAAAGTTATATGATATGATTTTTGTTGATTAGTATTATCTTAAGTTTTTTTTATTATGATAATATATGTATATATTATCATTCAATCACGAATTATAATATATAATATTTTTGTTAATTTTTTTAGTAACTACTTTAAGAGTCATGTATATCATGATTAATAAGAAAATGTCAAAAAAGGGGGGGAAAATTATACAAACATGCTATTAAAGTTAAACTTGAAATTTTATGTCACTGTTTAATTTAAAAACTAATAACTGAAATACACAATGTTTATTTCATTTCTTGTTATTCATCATTATAATTTTAGGTATATAAAAGATATCTTATCTTAATTATACATATATATATATATATATATATATATATAT